AGACAGGCAATGACCAGACTGTGCGTCTTATTATAGATCACCAGGCCAGCCTGGTGGCATGTCAGGAGGCATGCTCTCCTGAATAGTGACTGGCTGGGAGTCCCTTGGGTCCCCTAGCCACACTCCCTAGAAGGGACCCCTTCTATTAGGAAGTTGTGGTCCTAAGCCTTTGAGCTGGCCCAGATATACCTCCCATGAACTATGTTCTGGCAGTTTTCTTGGTTCATTAGCTTGGGCTATGACCGGTAGGGAGTGCTGTCACTGACAGCCCAACGTGACCTAAGGGTGAGTGGTTTTAGTGTTCTATTACTGGTTCTGACAGTTGTCACTGCCCTTGGGTATGCACTCGCCTCAGTATGGTGGCGTGGGTATTTCGTTCCCCGTAGCTTCAATGACGTATTGTTGAGTTCCCTTCGAAAGGGAATGTCTTAGGTTACGACTGTAACCTATGTTCCCTGAGAACAGGGAACGAGACAATACGTCTCCCTGCCATACCTCGGGGCCTGCCTGCAACAGTCCCTTCAGACAATAGGATGTTGTCACGGTTTCAAGGCGCCCTTTTTATACATCCAGGTTGCATGCTCATCATTCAAGCTGATGATGCACGGGCTGTCGCCGGTCAACATGATTGCTGTGAGTTGATACTTGATTTCAGACACCTGTCACGCCTAGGCATGTGCCGGTATTCGGTAATGCGATAAATCGCGGTAATGAATATGCACGATATTGTTATCGCGGGCACTTCAAAATACCGTGAAAAATAATAGATTCGAATTTAGACTTTTAGAACGCGCATTAGCTTATTTTCCATCAACCGCTTAAACACTGCGTATATGCTGCGCAAAACACGTGCGCACTCTGATGTAAACAATCCCCACATGTACAAGCACTGTGTGCATGCGGCGGCAGTGCGCACTCTAGTCTAATGTAAACAATCCTGACATGGAGTAGAAGCATGGCGGAAGGAGGAACGCTTCCGACGATTTACCCCCCGCAGGGCTGCAAACTCTCACGCATTCAGCTTGAGACTCAAGCGCCTTTCAGACAGAACGCGGAATACGCGCGGGGACGTTTTGTTGCTGCGTCGACCAAAGCACGCCGGAGTCAAAGTTCAAAGTAGTTAAACTTTTTATTTGCAAAATAGCAAATCGCGTTTCGCGTCCTGTCTGAAAGGCGCTTTACGCACCGACAGACTAGACAGAGCAGGTTACTTTTGATATGAACAAAAAAATAAATAAATCAGCTCTTAGGTTCTGTCCATTGTGACAGATCGGTGCGCCTCAGTTCAAGTAAACCGATCATCTATTACTTTTTATTTAAAGACACAGTACAACTTACCGTAAGGTATATGCCTCATACATAATGTCGATCAATCAGTGTTTTTCAAACACGGAAAGAGGTCAATAAAACTGCAAGAGAACAGAACTTATGTCACAGAACGTTACATTTACCTCAGGAAAGCCATTTAATGACCAGCACATTAGTTGACTAGAAAAAATAGCGAGGAGTATTTTGCTAAATATGTGCACTATATTACATATTTATTATATGTTTACTTGTCATTACATAATTGTTATTATAATGAAAACCGCATTATATTTAATTTCTCTCTGTGTGTTTACAGCATTATGTGAGATATATTTTTTTCTTGAGAAAAATTAACATGCAGACTGTGGCCTACCTAATATTTATCCAAATGAGTCAATATTGAATTAAGATTAAAATCAAATCCTTAACCAGGTTTTTTTTTCCTGGTTAAATAAAGGATAAAAATAATAATAATAATAATAAAAAAATCCAAGAATTTAATTGAATAATACAAACAGTAGCCTACCAGTCATTGTACCATGTAAACATTGTAACATGTTGTCACTAAATCAAATTCTGTTTAGTTACCATATGTTTTGAAAATCACATTGTGATGCAAGTTTTTTTTTTTTTTGATACCCACAATCCATCTGTTTCTCTTGAGCAATTAAAATATCGTGATAATACCGTATACCGTGATAAAAGCTCAATCAATTAATCGCAGCATGAAAATTTGATACCGGCACATGCCTAGTCACGCCTGAGGCGTTCCCCCATAGCGTCAATGACGTATTGTCCCGTTCCCTGTTCTCAGGGAACATAGGTTACAGTCGTAACCTAAGACGTTTTCTCAGGAGCCATGCTCTCCTGAATAGTGACTGAACAATAGAATGAACAGTAAAAGTAACAGAAGCTCATACAATACATTTTAGCTTAATTAAGCTTGAAAATAACTGAAGGAAATATATATTTGATGAACAAATTAAGCCAACTAATATGATTTATATTCTTTAGGTTTCTCTACCCAATATATTTAAAAATTACAAATGCATTGAAAATACAGGTATCGGTATCGGTGTGTACCAAAAATGAAAGTAACGGTATCGGACTCGTTCTGGAAAAAGTGGTATCAGTGTATCCCTAAAATTTATTCAAAATTTATGAAAAAATATAGGTGAAATCACAGGCACGCAAAAAGCACTTACACTTTGCAGCTTTATAATAGTGTTAAAAAGTTATATTTCATCTTATCACGACTATATTATATACTACTATATTATATATTTTTCCATCAACAACCCTGCTGATAAAATGTTGCTCATTACTTAGAGATGGTGTGCTGACTTGTTTTGAATTAGTTATTGGCCACTGTTCAATATCTGTTTCCACCGGGGGGGGAAAACAATCCAACCGTCTCCATTGACTTTGCATTGTGAGAAGTTGCCTCCTAGTCATTTCTGACTTAAAACAAAAAACAAAACAATGTTTAATAGCTGACAAGGTGTACAGCAAACAAGCTAAAAAACCCAGAAATAAGTTTTTAAAAGCTGTCGACCCCAAAAAACAAGCATTTAAGGACACAAAAGTGGACTATATTATATATTTTTCCATCAACAACCCTGCTGATACTTTTAACATGTTGCTCATTACTTAGAAATGGTGTGCTGACTTGTTGACTTTTGACGCTCTGTCTCTATACTGTTTTTTGCTTACTAGTAGAGAAGTATGCTTATTTCTATGCAGCCTGTTTTTATGAGTAAATCAGTTAATCATTCATTTTACCAATTTTCTCAAATAAATTAATTCAAGAACAAAACACTGCTGTATGTTGCTTGGAAATAGACAACGGTTTGTTTTTCTTTGATTTGCTTTGATCTTTTTTCATCTGCAGAGCAAAAATAGACCAAGTAACTGACAACACTGTCTACAATTTAAGTGACTCACTATTAACTTGTGTTGACTGTTGAGTAATATCACTTATGTTTTTGTGCTTTTTATGAAAATTTGGAATCAGTTCGTTTTACCTCAGTAATTCTAAGCATATACAGTATATGGCCTTGATAACTTCTCTTAAAACTGGTCTCTAAAAAAAGCCTTTGTCACTTATCTGGCGGGAGAAAAAGTGAAAAAGACACATTAGAAGAGTTAATGAGAACATGACATGACACAGTATGCATCTAATTGCAACCTGTCTCGGTCCAGTGAATGAGTCGTGACATGAAGAGTCTGTGCTCCCCGTTGATCGAATTAACCTAGAAAATATACTTGAACTTATAAAATGTCTCTATTAACTTTCATCAAACATTTCCCCCTAATGTTTCACCTGAAAGCCTTTGGTTTTAACAGTGTTAAAAATGTCCAGATCTGCACTACTGCACTGATTGCCTTTAAAAATGGGATAGCTAGCCAACATTTTCATACCTCAGTGCCTTTCAAGTCTCAATAAGTCATGCTATTTGTTAATGAATGACAAAATCAGTTTTGAGTCACTGCTTCTGTAACTGTGCCAAGCCACCGCACACACCGAATTGAGGAGGTATGAGAGAGCTGTAAGACGTTTCATATGTTTCTTGCAGTAAAATGGAGTTTTGTGTCCTTTGTCTCTGTATTCTTGCGTGTTCTGAATTTTAATGACCTGTTTGCTACAGAATGCTCATTGGACACTGGATTTAGACCAATTTAGGGAATAAGTGCTACTTTTCCAACAATAGTTCAACCTAAATTGGACATTGGTTTTCTGGAAATGTATATTTGTTTGTTTGCAGTTAGGCATTATCTGAAGGTGGTGTGCCTAGTGGTTAACAATCAAGATTTGCAACAGAAAGTTTGTAGATTCAAACCAACTTTTTTTCTTTTCTTTTTTGAAAGAATTAATACATTTATTCAGAAAGGATGCATTAAATTGTTCAAAAGTGACAGTAATGATATTTTCTGTTACAAATAAATTCTATTTTTAAATAAATGTTCTTTTGAACTTTCTATTCTTCAAATAACCCTGAAAAACTGCTTCACAGTATCCACAAAAATATTAAGCAACACAACTGTTTTCAACATTTATAATAATCAAATCAGCATATTAGAATGATTTCTGAAGGATAATATGACACTGAAGACTGGCTGCTGAAAACTCAGCTTTGCTATCACAGGAATAAATTACATTTCAAAATGTATTAAAATTAAAAATAAAAAACAGCTATTTAAATTGTAATACTATTTCACAAAATTACAGTTTTTACTGTATTTTTAACCAAATTAATGCAGCCTTGGCGAACCTAAGAGACTTCTTTCAAAAACATTTTAAAAAATCTTACCGACCCCAAACTTTTGAACGGTGCAGGAACCCAGGAATACAATTTGAAATCTAGCATCTTTGTTCATGGGCGGTCAGTTTCCCAGCCAGGTTGAATTGAGCCAATCAACTTGAGCTGTAAATGCCATGTGGTTACTCATTCAAGAGCTGTAAGACAATGACATCAGGAATTCGTGATTTTGCCGATGTCACCAAGTATACAGTCTCACCTCTAGTGACTGTCCTGATCTGTGACGTCAATAGTAGCAGATAAGGAAAAGTATGTTTTTGAATAAAGTGATAATAAAATAAATTAGTTGTGTATGCACCGAATTGATTGAAATATATATTGCAGAAGGACATATTTAGCTATAGTTTTTCATCTTCTGTATGTTTTAAACAGGGTGGATGACTTTGGCCTGGGCCTGCTCCTTCGGACCAAACAGATCAAGCGTATGATCTCATCATATGTGGGGGAGAATGTGGAGTTTGAGAGGCAGTATCTCTGTGGCGAGCTGGAGGTGGAGTTGACCCCACAGGTGAGACCATCCTTTACCCGTAACTTCAGAATAAACACTTTACCTTTGTTCTCAGTGGCAAGTTTATTGCCCAGTATATGTATGCTAAAGATTTTATAGTACCATTCTTCCAAAAAAAATCCAATCAGGAAGGTTTTGTTTACCCATTGTACTGTGTTGACGGCAGGGCACGCTCGCGGAGCGGATCAGGGCCGGTGGCGCAGGTGTGCCTGCCTTCTTCACTGCCACAGGCTATGGCACACTCATCCAAGAGGGCGGATCTCCGATCAAATACAACAAGGACGGAACCATTGCCATCGCTAGTGAACCCAGAGAGGTCAGTTGTCGCTTATCTTCCAGTTTTATTGAGTGATGCAGTCATACAGCATGTTTCAGATGAGGTTTGATTGCTATTAATATCTGAAGTGTGACGATCAGTAAAAATAGACATAGGATCTATTATGTTCTCCCGCTGTCGTGTTTCAGGTGCGGGAATTTAATGGCCGACACTTCATCATGGAAAAAGCCATCACGGGTGACTTTGCCCTGATCAAAGCCTGGAAAGCAGACAGGGCAGGAAATGTCATCTTCAGGTACAAATGCTTGTTCTTCTGAGGTTGTTCAGCTCTACTTTATGACGGACTAGAAGTTGTTTTCCTTTACCCAACAGTATCACATGTTCACTGGTGTGGTTGGTGTTTTGCCCAAACCTGAAAATAGTACCTTTCTCTCACCTTACTGTTTCCATTTAGCACATACCCACACTGAAGGCAAGGCCACATGAGACACTTTTTGAAACAGTACCTTATTTTAGAGAAAACTTTAAACACAGTAGACAAGGCAAACTGTTAAAATAGCTGTAATTTCAAACCCAGTCTTTTTCATTCATTATACAACCCACAGAAAACAATGATATAAAATAGTGGTAAAATACTTAAAGAAGAAGAAAAAATATTAGTTTTAAATGCACTACCATGCAGAGATTTAGTGTCAGTAAGATTTTTAAAAGTGTCTTATGTACATTAAATATATTTACTGAAATATTATACATATTATTGCTAATATTACCAATAATACTATTACTGTAATATCAGTATTGTTACTCTTTGAAATATCTCTTTTCTATTTTAATATATTTTAAAATGTAATTTATTCTTAAATGTATTCATTTCAGCATCATTTCTCTAGTCTTCAGTGTCACATGATCCTTCAGAAATCATTCTGATATGCTGATTTGGTGCTCAAGAAACATTTCTTATTATTATTATCAATGCTAAAAACTACAGAGCCCCTGGAAAAAATCTGAGATGGGAGGGAAAATAATAAGTCAATGCTTTTGCGTTCCCTCACAAAAACGTTGGCAATTCCACCAAAAAACTTTGCATTCGCTCGCAAAACCTTTTGAGCTCTTGCGAGCGAACAGAAAGTTTCTCGGGGGAAGGAAAAATATTTTTGAATGAAAGCAAAAGTATTGACAAATATTTTTTCCTCCATCTCATATATTTTTTCCTTCACCATATCCGTTTAGTGGCTCTGTATTATACACAGTTAAAGCTGCTTGATGTTTTTGTGGAAATCATCATGCCCTTTTTCATGATTCTTTGATGAATAGAAAGTTTTAAAAAAGTTATGTTGCCATATACAAAGGGTTATAAATAGTGTTATAAAATAGCTGTGTATGGTAAAAATGGTGTTATATTTGATTTGAAAACAATAAAGATTTGAACAGAGAGGACATTATTATTGCTCAATTCCATTTGCAACGTTACATAAATGTAAGTGTAGTATTTTTTTTTTACCACAAGGGTGCACTGTTTCCTTTACCATAAAATTGTACACTTGTTCTGCTTTGGTTGAAATTTTTAGGAAGATGGCACCAATATGGATGATGACTAAGTTGTTTTGGTTACACTTCATTTCAAAAGTCCACTATAGACATTATATTAACTATAAGTAACTTTAAGTAACGACTACATGTCAACTAACTCTCAATAACTACATATCAACTAACTCTTAGAGTATTAGTAGACTATTAGGGTTAATAATTTTAGAATAAGTTGACATGTACTTGCAAAGTTACTTTGTCAGTAGAATGTCTGTTTTGGACTATACAAATAAAGAGTTAGCAGATGTTAAGCAGAAAGTTTCTAATGACTGTTGTTAGTTGACATGTAGTTACACAGTTACTTGTAGTTAGTGGAATCTCTGAAGTGGACTATTGAAATAAAGCGGTACCATTGTTTTTGTCAATGGTTCTGGACTGATTTTTAATAGCTTGTCATTCTGGCTCATTTCACCATATTTAATTATCAGTGGCTCTTAAATAGAGGAAAGAACATTGATACATGTATCAATACAGTTCCACCTCAGCTCTACATGTCTGAAGTTGTTTTTAAAAAATTTATTGCTTAGCATGTACTTTTTTAACAGGAAAACAGCGCGGAACTTCAACCAGCCCATGTGCAAGGCAGCCAAGATCACAATTGTGGAGGTAGGTGAATACCACATTGTCAGGGTTATGCAGTTTAGTTTGGTTCAGACCTCATTGTTTTCTGTTTGCCAGTTTCTCCTTACCTTGTCTGTTACCATAGTCATTAATTGAGTTACGCAGGTGTTGTGTGTTACATTAACAATCTCTGCGTTTATTTAAGCCCTCAGTTTACTCAGTTCTGTGTCATCTACCTTATGTGGTTGTGGTTTCCCCAGAGCCTCTCCTGTATACTTTTGTGGATTATTATATTAAAGACGTTATATTATTATATTTTCGTGCGCTGCGCTACGTTACAGCAGCCACGTGTGACGCGCATGACTTCTGCCCATGTGCTTCTGTCAGATCCTGTTTGGATGCATTATTGCAGGTTTAAAAGCTTGTGCATATATCATGTTGTCCATACTATAAATTCAATTCCCCCCTCCTGCATTTCATTTTATCATTGTTTTTCACATTAACAAAAATAAACTGTTGGTTTCATCTAGATCTTTGAAGTTTTTTCCCCCATTCACTCCTTTTTCATTTCCTTTCTATCAAGAGCGCTTTTCAAACACTTGCCTGCATATCAAATATGCTTTTATCTAAGCCTTTGTTCAAAACGCGCAGCTACGAACAAAAGACTTATCAAAAGGCATTTTCAGTAGCCATGAACAAACTCCATTAATGAATCTGATCTTCCATCAGCACTGTTCTTTCTCTAGCAGCCTTGGTTTGAAATGGTTTACAATGTGAAACAATAACTACTGAATTTGAACCATTTGAGCAGATATTTCTGTAACTAGTCTTCACACTTCACTATCTGTCTACCAATAGTACTATCATCAGGAAGGAAGACTTTTAGCTCACTCAGATTCTTTAATTGTCTTCTGCTACAATTGCGTCGGATGCTATCAGCGCATTAGAGCTTTTATTTGTCTGGTTTTCAATCTTTATTGTGGCTGCACAGCAATATGAGCAGTTATTAGTGGCCAGTATCCTCTGACAATACGGTTATTGCGGTCCCACTAAAGATAAGCTTATCAGTTCTCTGAACACAGTAATGGTTAAAGACCTTTTTCAATGTTTGTGCATCTGGTGATGAAAGCCGTCCTGCTAGGAGAATAAATCAGTTGGCTGAGTGCTGAGCAACAGTGTGTATCTTGCATTCTGCCTCTGACTGGTTAAGATGTTGTTTGTGGTGCCAACTCACTCAGAATAAAGATTGACTCACTGCCATCCCTGTTGTCTGGGGATGAGAAAAGAAAACAGTCATTTGGGTTACTGCAGGTGTCATGTCTGTCTCACCTGTTTTAAAAGGTTTTTCGGCAAGGACACATTAAATTGATCCAAAATGACAGTAAAGACATTTATAATGTTACAAAAGTGCTGCTCTTTTAAACATACTACTCTTTCCTCATTGTTTCTAATAAAAAAATCATGGAGAGAGAAAAAAAGCTCCCCAGAAAAATATTAGACAGCACAACATTAATATGAATAAAATACAGTTGGTACGAGTCAGATGAATGGAATCAGCTACTACTGTTATATTAATATATTTAAATCCTATTATGATTCACACATTTAATTTTGTAAATAGTTTTGATTAAAAATAACTTTCATGCAATTGAATCATATGAATTAGCATTAATTGATTTATCACAGGCAGCATTAACATTATTAATGTTCTTCTATGTCTTTTTAATAATAATAATTCATTACATTTATATAGCGCTTTTTCTGGGACCTCAAAGCGCTTCACATATGGAAGGGGGGAATCTCCTCAACCACCACCAATGGTTTCCCCAGAGCCTCTCCTGTATACTTTTGTGGATTATTATATTAAAGACGTTATATTATTATATTTTCGTGCGCTGCGCTACGTTACAGCAGCCACGTGTGACGCGCATGACTTCTGCCCATGTGCTTCTGTCAGATCCTGTTTGGATGCATTATTGCAGGTTTAAAAGCTTGTGCATATATCATGTTGTCCATACTATAAATTCAATTCCCCCCTCCTGCATTTCATTTTATCATTGTTTTTCACATTAACAAAAATAAACTGTTGGTTTCATCTAGATCTTTGAAGTTTTTTCCCCCATTCACTCCTTTTTCATTTCCTTTCTATCAAGAGCGCTTTTCAAACACTTGCCTGCATATCAAATATGCTTTTATCTAAGCCTTTGTTCAAAACGCGCAGCTACGAACAAAAGACTTATCAAAAGGCATTTTCTTTATCAAGAATATGCTTATGCTTTATCAAAAAGCATATACTTTAATGCTTTAATTGTCTGCAAAAGTGTCGTTGAATTATATTAATTTAGGGATTTTCTCAGCAAATATTTATATCGGTTATCATTTATTAGTAAACCATGTAATTAATGTGATTAAAAATCAATTAAGTAGTCAATTGAAGTCTATACTAGTTTAATATGGTGGAAATCTTGTGCAAATGCATTTTGAGAGCATAGTGGTTGTGACCCAGTTTTTGCAAGCACATCTATTTTCCCAGACAGAACCATCCTGTACCTGCATATGAAAATCATACTTACAGTCCTTGATAAGCTTATTACGGAGTGCTTGATTGTAGCCAGCTTAAACTCTGTCCCATGTTTTACTTCAAATAGACTGTCATTTGGTTCAGCCCTTTACCTGTATCCCCCTTCCCTTTTTTTGTGTGTTTTCATATGTTATTTGTCTGTGGAGTGCACTATATTTTATAGCTTCAGCATTTCCTTTACTTTCTGACATCTGATTTTCTCTCCAAAGTAGCTGAGGCCATATTTAGCTGCTTGGAAGGAAGACAGTGTTTTATGATCATCCAGTTATAATCTGCCAAAACGCAGCAGCCACGTTGAATTATTTCCTCTCAATTGGCTGGCTGATGAGGCTTGCCAATGGCTCAGCGTTTCGAGAGAAGCGTTCCTGGTGCCTGTCAGAGCCAGGCGCTGGAAATACTGATGCCACTGGAGGAAACAGACACCTTATTTCCTCTTGTTATAAAACAGACCGCGTCCTAATTAACAGGATATCTGATAGCTGTGTGTCTAAAAAGCTGCCATTTTCCTAATGAATTAAAAAGAACGGATCATTAGCATTAACCAAAGGAAATGCAGATTGCTAAAAAATAATAATAATAAAGCAGGCGAAATCGATTCGGCCAGCTGGTTGCCAGGCGACAGAAGCCTGCACAGCAGATCCGTGGCATATTCCAGTTATCCTGTTATCGCAGGTACAATGAGGCCCAGAGCAATGTGGGATTCGAGGGAAGTTAGTTCAAACAAGGCCATATTTGCTAGTCACATTGGCTGTAAAGGTACCGATCTGTTCTTTTTCAAATTTTGTTGAAACGACATGTTGCATGAAATGAGTTTTTCAGGATGGGGCTAATTGGTTATTGATGAAATTCGTGCTCAAAGGTATTATCTCTCCTCCTCCCTCTGTCCAATTTCAAAACGCTGATTTTGCTTTTGGTTTGTTGCACATAAATTACCAGTGCGAGTACGACAGCTGGGGCGTTGTGAGCGAGATCAGGGATATTGCTAAATGTGAAGCCAGTAGGTCATAGTGTTGATTTTTTTCAGTCCTATTTCAATCAAATAACCTCCTAGTAGAATATTTGAGTATTTCTTTATGTAAAGATTTTCTGTTATTATTCTGCACAGTTACTGGACAGGACCAGGGTGCGAATTACACAATGGCTTTCATATGTATGTATGTATGCATACATATATTGTACGAGGGTGATGGTTTATGACAACAATTTTTTTTATAACATATATATATATATATATATATATATATATATATATATATATACTCACCGGCCACTTTATTAGGTACACCTGTCCAACTGCTCGTTAACACTTAATTTCTAAGCAGCCAATCACATGGCGGCAACTCAGTGCATTTAGGCATGTAGACATGGTCAAGACAATCTCCTGCAGTTCAAACCGAGCATCAGTATGGGGAAGAAAGGTGATTTGAGTGACTTTGAACGTGGCATGATTGTTGGTGCCAGAAGGGCTGGTCTGAGTATTTCAGAAACTGCTAATCTACTGGGATTTTCACGCACAACCATCTCTAGGGTTTACAGAGAATGGTCCGAAAAAGAAAAAACATCCAGTGAGCGGCAGTTCTGTGGGCGGAAATGCCTTGTTGATGCCAGAGGTCAGAGGAGAATGGCCAGACTGGTTCGAGCTGATAGAAGGGCAACAGTGACTGAAATAACCACTCGTTACAACCGAGGTATGCAGCAAAGCATTTGTGAAGCCACAACACGCACAACCTTGAGGCGGATGGGCTACAACAGCAGAAGACTCCACCGGGTACCACTCATCTCCACTACAAATAGGAAAAAGAGGCTACAATTTGCAAGAGCTCACCAAAATTGAACAGTTGAAGACTGGAAAAATGTTGCCTGGTCTGATGAGTCTCGATTTTTGTTGAGACATTCAGATGTTAGAGTCAGAATTTGGCGTAAACAGAATGAGAACATGGAACCATCATGCCTTGTTACCACTGTGCAGGCTGGTGGTGGTGGTGTAATGGTGTGGGGGATGTTTTCCTGGCACACTTTAGGCCCCTTAGTGCCAATTGGGCATCGTTTAAATGCCACGGCCTACCTGAGCATTGTTTCTGACCATGTCCATCCCTTTATGGCCACCATGTACCCATCCTCTGATGGCTACTTCCACCATGTCACAAAGCTCTAATCATTTCAAATTGGTTTCTTGAACATGACAATGAGTTCACTGTACTAAAATGGCCTCCACAGTCACCAGATCTCAACCCAATAGAGCATCTTTGGGATGTGGTGGAACGGGAGATTCGCATCATGGATGTGCAGCCGACAAATCTGCGGCAACTGTGTGATGCCATCATGTCAATATGGACCAAACTCCCTGAGGAATGCTTCCAGCACCTTGTTGAATCTATGCCACGAAGAATTGAGGCAGTTCTGAAGGCAAAAGGGGGTCCAACCCGTTACTAGCATGGGGTACCTAATAAAGTGGCCGGTGAGT